ACAGAGCTAGTGTGTGCATATGTGAACATACTTCTTCAGCCTCATGTAGTTTTCACTGACGGCCGGTCTGCATTCAGCTCTCTGCACCACCACTCCTTCCAGTGCAATTTTATCTTTGTGAAAGAAGAGAGACATTAATACTCAATGACAGTTGTAACTGTGTGCAATCGCTGCTGCAACACAGTCTGTTACTGCTCAGTCATTACATTAGCAGTGAGAGACGCAACAGTGCATTCGCTGCTCCAGGCTGTGCAATTTTCAATATACCAATTCTTTAAATTAGGCCATAGAAAGCATTTATAATTGCTGTTTTGTTGGCTGATTGTCAAATCAATGGCCATTAACAGTACAAGGCTTGACGTGGTCCTTCCTGGACCTCCACTCAAGCAGGGGGCGACGGTGAGCACTCACCTGGGCCTGTACCTGTACCTGAGCCGCCGGCCTCGGCATCTGACTGCCCTACGAGAGGGATGGCAACATGAGAACGAGGGGGAGTACATGCCAAATGAATCACGGCAGGCCAAGCCTCACGGCAGCTTCTTACACAGTAGTCGGCGAAAGCAAACGCACAAATAGACACAAACCACGCAGATATGACCAACAAGCCACACAGAACCTCTGATCAGTCAGTTCATGAGTTAGCTTCATTGAAACCAATGAGGAAATTTATCTAAATTAATCAAAAAAACCACAAACCAAAGGTACCCTGTGTCTTCAAGGATGTGGAGATTCATATAAATCATTGGATTATTTTTTTTATTTAATTGTTTTTTTTAAAGACAGTAAAGACTTTAACGTTGTAAATTTTTTTTTTTTTTTTACTTTTTATTTATTATCCTGAAAAAATAAATATATGAATGAATGAATGTATCACTGTTTCAATCAAAAATATTAAGCAGTACAACTGTTTTCAACACTGATAATAAGAATGGAGGTTACACTTTATTTCGATAGTCCACTTTAGACATTCTACTAACTACAAGTGACTTTGTAACTACATGTCAACTAATTATCATTAATTTGCATCTACATGTCTACTAACTCAGTGTAGACTGTTAGGGTAGGTTTAGGGTTAGTAGAATAAGTTGACAAAGAAAGTGTTAGAAGATATTAAGCAGACAGTCTACTAATACTCTACTAACTGCTAGTTGACATGTAGTTGCAAAGTTACTTACTGTTAATAGAATGTCTAAAGTGGACTATCGAAATAAAGTGTTACCAGAATGGATGCTTAATTCATCGTTGCAATCACAGGAATAAATTACAATTTAAAATGTATTAAATTAGAAAAAAATGCAATAATAATATATTATTTTAATACAAGAAAATTGTAATAATATTTCACAAACAAAGTGTATTTTTGATCAAATAAATGCAGCATTAAAAAAATTATAATTCAGTCCCATGTTTGAATAACTGGTCCCAGGACATTTAACAGAAGAGAAGTGTCCAGGCTTTGGAACTCAAGCACATTCACAACAACTAAAGAAATCCTCACTGTCACTACAAAAAAAAAACATGAATTAGCATGGCAACTATACAGAGTTGGTCATGCACACACAACACCCAAGCTACACAACACAACTCCATGTTAATCAAGGAATAATTAAGGCAGTGAGCAGATTTGGTTTCCAAAATCAGTGGTACTTGAAGGCCCATTCTAATGTCTTCTACCATTAAAACACCACAATCACATACACTGATTGAGAGGCAGAGGTTAGCAACTGCAAAAGCTTAAGAGACCAGATGAAAGCTATTACAACCTAATATCTGATTCATCTCACACAACAGACAAAGAGTAGAGAGAGAAACGGAATAGAACTGGAGGAAGAGAGTATGAGGCAACTGAAGTATATACAGGAAATCCCAGAGATCGCACGACATGACTTACCCAATGAGCTGTTTGAAAGCAAAAGTTCAGTTAACAGGAAAAAACTATGATACTTTATAATACCTTTTATTAAAATGTAAATAACTAACTAACATTATACAAGTCTTAGCATGGCATAGTTTACACATATTCAAAAATAATGAACATTTTCTTGATCACGGATGGCACAAAATCTTCTCAACACATTTAATGAGTGCCTATGCTATTTTTAATTTGTAAGACTTAGTCAAAACAGTTTAGAGGTTAATTTACCTAAATAAAGGATTTGTAGACACAATGTTTTTAGATTTGTGAAGTAAAAATTATAGTTTTGTTGTAACCAGAATTGGTACAAAATGCCCCAAGTGGCAAGTTGTTATTACAAGTGTTCAGTTTAATACATATTGTAATTAATGGGGTTATTATTCAGTATTTTCATAAATTAGATGTACATTTCAGGCATCTCTGCTTTTCATTAATTGAATGATTGAGTGAAATCATTCACTTCAAAGTGTTGTTGCTATTATGAATATCTTCAATTAAAATATGGGCATTTAAATATGTATATATTCACATGACCATATATATATATATATATATATATATTCTATAAAAGATTACCCAGAGAGGGAGTCTTAAGCTTTTTTGTAAAATAATTTTACATTTTGTGCTATAACAACTACTAAATTAGCAAATGCTTCTATTTATTTCCTATTATAACACACTGGCTGATGCATCTTCACCCTGCACATGATAAACATATGTTACAATTGAAAGTAAATGCAGAAAGTAAACGCACACTGTTCTTAAGTGACCATCTTAACCCTATTATTTAAAGTATAACAGCATTTTTAGATACACAGTGGTTCTGAAATCGTATTACAGTGGAATCAAATTATTTTATAAAAAGTAAAAATGCTCTTAAAATCTAAATCTAAAGATATTAACATAACATTAAATAATAGTAATGATCAAATAATTAGTAATCATTTTTTTGAATGACTACATAACATTACTATGCATTACTAATAATGGTTATCTAATTTATTCAGTTTATGCACTTGTTATAATCCACTTTTTACAATATATCACTACATTAATGTACTACATGAACATTCTCATGAATTAATGAAAATTAAACATTTTGTACTCCTTTGTTTTTTCTTCTTGTACATACTTGATCTTCTGAATATTTATTGTGTTTAAGTCTATTGTATACTGTCCTGTACATCCCAGAATTTTATCTCTGTTATTATACTATCTACTTTTTTGTACTCTTATCTCTTTTTTATTTAAATATACATTATAAACTATTTTACAGCCTATGGAGTGGACCTGATGTACATTTCACTGCTGGTTATATATTCTCTATATAACTGTATATGAATCTACTTTAACTTCACATCATTTAAAATCAGGGCTGTCCAAACTCGGTCCTGGAGGGCCGGTGTCCTGCAGAGTTTAGCTCCAACCCTAATTAAACACACCTGAACCAGCTAATCAAGCTCTTACTAGGCATAGAAACTTCCAATCAGGTGTGTTGAGGCAAGTTGGAGCTAAACTCTGCAGGACACCGGCCCTCCAGGACCGAGTTTAGACAGCCCTGATTTAAATGCACAGCAGTTCACAGCTTTACATGTAGTGACATCCTGGTTCTCACCTGAAGAGTTTTCAGTAAAAACAGCCAGAGTCTGTCCACCGACCGTCTGCAGAGTGAATGGATGCTCTCTAGGGGCTCGTACCATAGAGGATTTCTGCCCAGTGGTGTCTATGGTGGTCAGCTCCTCATTGAGTGTGAAAGACACCTGTCAATCAACCAGAAAAACACTGAGTCCACCTATAGACACACTGAGTCCACCTATAGTCTCAAATATAAAACACTGAACGTTTAAAGACATACTAGTTACCTCTGCTTTGCCTTGATTCCTGCACAAACAACAATTGTATAAATATCAATGTTTTAAATGAACGTTGTGCTTGTAGTATTCCATAACATGTAGATGGTAGTTATTTTTGCTACATACTTGCATATTCGGAGCTTTCCAACTTCTCCTCTCCCCGTTGCTTTGGCCCATTGCTGTGCCAAATACTTTGGGACCTTTATGAAGTTTATGCAAACATAGTTTTAAACCAATGCCCATATTTAACATGGTTTTAATAATTACACGGCAAAACATATAAACCACACTGCCATGTGTGTTATTGTAGATGCTAAAGCCATGTACAAACACTGGCTGCACTAGCAGTTCATCATCGAGCTATTTAAAGCACTTACTTTGACCAGCCATACGCCCGTGTTCTGTTTTGCCCCAGTTAAATCCACTTCTCCTTTGTCTGACATGTTTGTTAATAGTTTAAATATTTATATTCTAGTTATTTCATGTGGATTTAATACGCCGCTTCCACGCTACACACTCGTTGGCTAACACGCCATCAACAGAGCAGGTTGTATGGTAGCCTGTTAGGACAAAAATGAAAAGCGCGTTGGTTAATACAGATGCTACATAGTGACAAAATCCATGAATTTGGAAAACAGTTAACACACACACACACAAAACAATAATAATAATAATAATAAAAAAATAACGTTCTATTTGTTAGCTCAATCATTAATAGTAGAGTTAAAGGAGATATCTTTTTCACGTCGCTTTGTCATTTTATTTAGTAAACACTACTCGATTTATTTGGAAGTGAACATGTTTTTGAGCATAGAATATAGTCCCTTACAAAAATTAACCATGGTTGTACTACAAATAAAACTAACAAACAAACAAAAAAACATGGTTACTATAGTTAAACCATGGTAACCACAAATTAACCATGAGTTTGCTACAATAACCATAATTTAACCATGGTATTTATAGTTAAACTGTGGTTATACAAATGGCAGTCAATACGTCAAAAAAAAAAAAAAAAAAAAATACATGGTTACTACACTTTTACTGTGATAAAACAATGGTTAATTTTCGTAAGGAATAGAATAGGTGTTTATTTACAGAAATGATCACACTTTACATTTATGATAGCATAAAAACCTCCAAGAAACAATTCAGTTGAGCCTTATAGCCGCAAACTTACATGGTTAAAATTATATCGCAATAAAATAATAAAATATATTTTTACATGGGGCAACAAAAAATAATATTAGGACCATCATGATTATTTGCATTGTAACATTATCACCATGAATGTTGATTCGCATTAATATAGTAATAGTGTACTGTACAGGAAAGATGTGATGGATTTAAACGGTAAATTTGACAACTGCATAAATCAAAGTACAACAAAAAACTAGTGATGTAAATACTTTAGAATTTCAATTGTTAGCATCATAGTGCTGTTTTTTTTCATTAAGGTAATAATAATTTGGGATTAAGTGTTATGACACAACAAAAAGTTTTAATGGGTCTAAAATGGTCTTAACTTTCATTAAGCAAAATATTAATTATTTCTGTCTTTTATTGTTAGGGTGAAGTACATGTGATCTGAACTTGGAATAGTCTATGAGGAAAGCACACTCTGGTGAACAATACATGACCCAAAAACATGAAACTGACAGAATTCAGAGGAATTCACTGGATATAAACGATGATACTTAAGTATTCATTACCTATTAATAAAAAGGCAGCCTAAAAACTTATAGAAGTCACAAAATTACAAAACTTTTAATGTATTATCTCTTACAATTAGACACTGGTAAAAAAAAAAAAAAAAAAAGGCAAATTCAGGAGGAATAGTCGGTCCTCCTAATTTTACATATAACTGTCAACAAAAGCTCATAATGTTTTGATGATAATGATGATGCTTCAAAGATTCCAATGCAGTACAACATCCATTAAAAAAAATTCTTGACAATAAGAGATAAATTTGTTGAATGTCCCTCATAGGAACATGCGGTCTTTGCTGTGTGAAAAGCGGGTGTTCAGGTCTTGTGACTTCTTGAGCAAAGCTTTTTTCTGAGCCTCATCAAACCGATTGACTTGGAGGTCTGAGTCTCTGTCGAAGGGTCTTCTTTCCACAGGCTTGTTAGCATCCTCCTCAGCTTTTCTTTTCATCTTTTTAGTGTGCATACTGATGAGAGATTCACCACGCTTGGACTCCTAAAAAGAGATTGGCATTCTGAGACTGAAATTCATATTTTTTTATACTTAAGCAGTCACAGCTTCATCTAGCAAACTAAAGGTGTGGTCCATCAGAGTGAGCTACTCCAAAATAAATAGTTTTCCTCTTTTTTTGATCAAATAATAATAATAAAAAACCACTAACTGAAAATATTCCAAACTTTTTACCGGTAATATATATATATATATATATATATTAGTGCCATATTGTAGAATATGCATAGAAAAACAGCTGGATTTAACCGAACTTACATTATATATTGAAACTTTTTCAGCCATATCAAGCTCTTTCTGAGGCAGATGAGGTCCATCATCCTTGGCAGATTCACCTTTTTCCTTAGCCTCTAGTCGTTCCTAGGAAAGACACACAAGAAGGGAATTTCCAAACAATCCCTGAAATCCCTCTTTTCCAAAACCCAGTGTAAAAAAAAAGCTTGTATTACCTGCAGAATCACATATGATGTCACTGGAAAATCTATGATGACTCTCCACAACAATCCCCACATTTCACATCTGAACTCAATTACATTTATTGCTAACTCACCCTAGCTTTTCGTTCACAGTCAGCGGGAGTGTCAGTCCAAACTGAGCGGTCTTTGTTCTCAGGGCCTGATCTTTTCTTAAAGGTTCGTGCTTCCAGGCCCACGTGCTGCAACTCAGGAGGCAACTCGGTCATCCAGCTCTCTCTGGAGAGCACTTTGGGGCCAGTCTAAAAGCAGAAGAATCCCAGATTGTTTAGTCTGCCCACTGATGGGATTAAATCCAAATCTATTTTTATGTTGAACAAAGTGAATCAGTCAAGTTCTTTATTGTCATTGTACAAGTACAGCATAATTACTTGTCTTGGGGTATGAAGTATGTAAACAGAAATAAAAACCGAAAGTATATAAGGCTTAAAATGAGAAGCATGTGCAAAGATAGAAAAATACAAAAGTAAAAAGTGAGAAAAAAATAATAAAAACAAATAATAATATAGTAAATAATAATTAATAATAATATATCTAAAATACTAGCTGAATTAATAGATTAAAAAAGAGAAATAGATTAAAAAATACATAAAAAGCACTTACATCCACTCCTGTAAGTTTGTCTTTCATTCTTTGAGCTCTTCTTTCAAAGTCCAATGCCACAGAGTCCTGGGACGGTCCTTTTGATGGCATGGGTCCAACGACATAGTCATCTTCTTCTTCTTCACCACTTGGCACTGCTGGTGTACAACCTGGTCCTAAAAATCCTCTAGCATCTTCTTTAACCTCCTCTTCATCCTCATCTTCATCTACATCTTGTCTTTTAAAGCCTGGAGGTAGAGCAGGTCCTATTACAGGTGGTCTGCAGGGAGAGGAGAAAGAAAAATAAATAAATAAATCAACATTTACATTTGCATGTAAAATTAGAATAAATATAGCAGTGTGTGATACTACCAACTTTACAAAACAAAAATGTATAGAGTAGTCATAATGTCTACTGTGTTTGTTTAATTCCAGGACAAATAGCTGTTACCGTTCAGGAGATCTGTCTTGCTTTCGATATCCTGGTGGTAAAGCTGGCCCTAAACACCCTCTGGTATCCTCTTTTTCATCTTCATCATCATCTTCATCAAGATCTTGTCTTTTAAATCCTGGAGGGAGTGCAGGTCCTAGTAAAGGTGGCCTGGTGATGCAAAATCCAAGACTTAGATTGGGATGCTTAAATTGCTCTACAAACGACCATGTGGGATACTATTATTAAGCGTTTATTACCCTTCAGGTGATTTGTCTCCCTTTTGATATCCTGGGGGAAGAGCTGGACCAAAGAAATCATCATCATCATCCTCCTCCTCCTCCTCATCGACTTGCTTTATATCCATCTCATCTTTAACACTGCCCCTGCTGCTGTTAAAGAACCACAAAAAATTACACACATAAATATCAGCTGTCACTCCATATCCATCTTAAGATGATAAATGCTCAGTTTTATGATCAAAGCTCTGTAGTTTTTATTGTGGAGGCAAAACATACTGTATAATGCAATGCAATACAATGTTGATTGACAAATGAACAAATAAACGTTCCTCAAAAGCCTGATGGATCATACTTACATTTGAACATGATTTTTCTCAAAAAATGATATATAGATAATTAAGTAAACCTAAATTGGATTTTTAGCAAGGCCTTTTACTTGATAAAAAGTATAAAGTATCAATCGGACTACAGAAGGCATGTAGTAGATTGTGTACAGCAGGTTTTTCAGCAGTTTGATCAAATTGATTATTTAGAGGTCTTAGAAATGTATGTATCAAATATAACACATTATGATTTTGACTAGGGTTGACTATCTCCCAACAGCATAAAAAAATACTTTGGATATATCAAAAGTGGTTCATTTGTGACCAAACACCTTATTTAATATGAATCCCTGAGAAACAAATTTATTTGGAGACCCATCAAGTATCATACTTTAAAGAAGGCCGGTTCCTAGATGATGATGAGTATTTGGCTCTCTTGAACACGACCTCCTCTTGATCACTGTCTTCACATGAGCTGGAGGACTCTGAAGCTTTATATCTTGGAGGCAAAGCTGGACCTATAACTGGAGGCAACATGTATTATTAATTACAATCTAAAATAATGGACTGAATGACTTAACTGTTGACGGACTGAATGACTTAACAATATATATATATTGTAGCAGCTAACGTTACTACAATGTGTGTCAACATACTTGCGCCTTCTTCATCTGAATCATCATTTTTGCTTTTTCCTATCGTCGGTGGCAAAGCGGGTCCAGTTATATTTTGATTAGACATCTCAAAAATTATTGTGTCAGAAAAATGATAATAAAACACACATTTATTCGTTCACAAACCCAGAAAATGCTACGATACAGAACACATTCTCTTATTTCCGGTCTCGAATTTGAGGTAGATTTCAAAATAAGAGTCCTGTTCCGGCGGAATCCTATAGGTGGCGCGTTATTTTCCATCAAAAGCGTTTCTGAGGCAGACGCTCTTTAACGCAAACTTCACGTCTCTTCTCTGTTGTCAGCCGTCGTTGTTTCTAGGGAGGCGGGACGCTTAAAAACAACAGTCAGTGTAATAAATAAGTTACCGTTTTAATCATAAAACACTTTTTTCCCAACATAAGACATTTTAAAGTTTGACGTCTCACACAAATTATTACTGTGTCGTGTTTTTCTTGTCAAAAGGCCGCGAAAGTCAGGTAAGTTAACCTGAAATAACCGAATTTGTCTTCTTGCTTTGTCCAGCTGTCATCGCTTAGCGACTAGCGCCTTATCCGTTAATTCTTCCCTTGAGCTTCTGAGCTTCTTTCCTGACGGCTGACTGCTAATAACCCACCCATAGAACCCACCGTTACCAGTGTAGAAATTGGAGGAACAGTCTTATTTCCTTACATGATAAGTAGATTCCAATTACAACATCCATTAAAAAAAATTCTTGACAATAAGAGATAAATTTGTTGAATGTCCCTCATAGGAACATGCGGTCTTTGCTGTGTGAAAAGCGGGTGTTCAGGTCTTGTGACTTCTTGAGCAAAGCTTTTTTCTGAGCCTCATCAAACCGATTGACTTGGAGGTCTGAGTCTCTGTCGAAGGGTCTTCTTTCCACAGGCTTGTTAGCATCCTCCTCAGCTTTTCTTTTCATCTTTTTAGTGTGCATACTGATGAGAGATTCACCACGCTTGGACTCCTAAAAAGAGATTGGCATTCTGAGACTGAAATTCATATTTTTTTATACTTAAGCAGTCACAGCTTCATCTAGCAAACACCCACCGTTACCAGTGTAGAAATTGGAGGAACAGTCTTATTTCCTTACATGATAAGTCGGTAGGACGGTTGGACTGGAGCTGTGTCGAGAATATGCCCCCTAAGAAGCCAAAGGACGCCACGGCAAACATCTCCAGCTCCATCGAGTCTGAGGACATCAGTCTGGAGACAACAGTCCCCACAGAGGACATATCGTCTTCAGATGAGAAAGATGGAGCAGGGAAGGTCACAAAACAGCTCCTGGAAAGAAAAGAGCTGCTTCATAACCTTCAAAAACTGAAGATAGAGCTGTCACAGAAAAATCTGCTCATAGACAACCTCAAAGTGGACCATCTTACAAAGGTAATGGTTGGTGAATGCAGAACTAATGTCTACATTGCATTGAAATAAGTTTGAAAAGTATTTAAAACTTTGTTTTTCCACCTATAAGTGTTTTGCACATTCATTTGTAGATAGAGGAGCTAGAGGAAAGGCTGAACGATGCTCTCCATCAGAAACAGGTGCTCGCTCTGCGTCTGGACAGCCAGCTCAAACTACAGCAGGATGAAAACAGGTTCATTTACACACAGTTTTACTGAGAAAAAGAGCCATTAGAAGTAGGGATGTACAATATATCAAGGGTCAAATTGGTGTTGGCTGAATAAATGTGCCTCTTTTATTTTAGTGGAATTGGTATAGTTGGCCTACTTACTGTTAATCACAAATAAAAAAAAATGGTTACTCTGTTTTAATTCTATTATACGTGATATTCAAAATAATAATTATTATAGTTAATAATTACTTAATCCCTTGTCATGGAAAATTTGTACAGCAGGTGCAGGGTCAATGCTCACTGTAAAAATGTTCTTCTTGAATCCTGTAAAGCCTGACATGAAATAATAGAAACTTAATTTATCTAAAAAAAAATTTTTAAGGCTGCAGTCCGTAAGTTTTGCCTCTTTCTCGCCATCTCTGTTTGAAAACCTGGAATTGCAGCTGTGTGCGGAATTATCTAGCTTGCGTGGGTTGTGAGTCGGCACGGCTCCAGTGCGGATGAATTGAATGAAATTTTTGGAATCGAGTCCGATTCACAGTTCTGGAATCGATGGGATTCGATTCCAATAAGCTTTATTTGTAAAAAATTACGATGCATTTCTGTAGCTCTGATAGATTTTAAATTATAATTTTGTCTGCATCACGCATGAAATTAGTCATAGCCCACAGCTCTGCACTGGACATGCGTTTATTGCATGAATGGAACAAGACATGAAGTGTCTAAAATAAACGTGCACAGTTCAGCTGAATGATGAAGTTTACTTTAACTGTATTCTTTGCACAAAATTAACAAACTGTAACAAACACGTCATGATCTATTCTGTTGTGCAGCGCTCAAAATTGTGGACAACATAAGCCAGTTCCACCGTAAAATAACCTCTGAATCGTTTTTTGAACTGGTTCATTATCCGAAAGAACCTTTTCGTGGAAACGACTCAGACTTCTATCATGATCTATTCTGTTGTGCAGCGCTCAAAATTGTGGACAACATAAGCCAGTTCCACTGTAAAATAACCTCTGAATCGTTTTTTGAACTGGTTCATTATCCGAAAGAACCTTTTCGTGGAAACGACTCAGACTTCTAAACGCTATTGGCGAGCAAGAGGCAAATTAATGGGTGCTTCTCAAAACGGAAGGCTGCATCCTCAAACTCAGACGAGCTCAGTACCAACTTTTCATTCAGTTTATTTTCGTGAATCGACGTTCAGCGATGTTTGATGGCGTAGCAGCTGAGATATGCAGCCTTTGTAGGATGCAGCCTTCCGTTTGAGAGGCACCCATAGATGAGCTTTGTTGAACTGAAAACGGCTCTGAATGAGGAGTCGATTCCCCTTGATGGTATCGATTCCAACCTTTGGAATCGATTCTTTTTGGAATTGATTCCCAGCCCTACTGAAGAGTATGTGTGGCAGTCAGTCACCGCACCGGTGTGGATATTTACTGTACTTCGCAATCACAGATTCTAGCCTACGTCTTGGAATATGACCCAAATAAGAATTTTCACCGTATATTGCCATCTGAACAAGTAAGTAACAAGTCTGCCAC